CCCGGGTCGGGGCTGTGGGCGTTGGGAGCAGGAGGCTGCGCGGCTCATGTGCTGCTAACGCGGGTTTGTCGCCTGCCGAGCTGGGAGCGACTTGTGGTGGGGATAAACTGGGGAGCAGCTGCCCCAGCTGAGGCTGAGAGCGCTGGGGATGCTCGGCGGGGAGAGGAGAAGGCTTAGGGGGTTCTCTGTAGGTACCTGAAGGGAGAGGCGAAGAGGAGGGAGCTAGGGGTGCCCAGACAGGCTGTGATATTTTATGTGGGTATCTACACCACTGGAGATACTCAAAGCCTGTCTGAGCTGTCTTTTGCGGAGAACAAATGGTGGCATACTTCACAATGATTTTAAACTGCAAAAAGCCAGTACTGCTGCCCAAAACAGTTGTAAGGTACAACAAACTGGTGAACCAGTCCGTGTTAAAACAAACTTTCCTTCTTGCCAGATCACTTTTAATTCAGATGACTTCTTGGTCTCAAATTGCATGCTATGAATGCAGAACCACCTCTTTCTCCAGCAGATATACCTACATAGATGAGAACATTGTGTTTAAATAGTGTTGAGTTCTTTGTTTCATTTCATCCTAGAGGTCTCTGCAAGCCTCAGCCTTTCTGTGCTTCCTTAGTGTTTTGCTGTGTATGTACACAGCACACATATGCAGTTTGTGTGGCCGTAACAACAATAAAAGCCCCAAACTTCCTCTACTGTTTTTTGTGTCTTTTTGTTCTCTTTGCTCTACTCTGGTGGGTGTGAGTCAGCTGCCAGAAGGACTGATTCATGAAGTAATGTCTTTCTTTGTCTTTGTAAAATGAAGCTGACTTCTGAATACTTATTTAAACATATATAACTAAATTCACAGTCTAATTTTTTTTAATGTCAAAGTAAAGGTTTATAAATCTGTAAAACTTTCATATAAACATGTTTCAGATTGTGACGGTCCTTTTCAAGCAACTCAGCTGTGGAATAATATTATTCATGCCCTTCACAGTCAAGTGGAAATCAAAAGACATAGACAACATCTGAAAACATATAAAAACTGTTTCACTGGCTCAAATGCTGTTGATGTGGTACTGAGCTATCTCATGCAGAGCATGTACTTAAGCTGCAATGATATTTCTCGGCTGAAGGGAGTCCATGTATGCCAAGCGTTGATGGATCACAAGGTGTTTGAGCCAGTTGGAGCAAAGCTTTACTTATTTAAGCATGGGAAAGAAACAGAGTTTGAAGACACAGACACTAGTCTCTATAGATTTGTAAATAGCAGTCTTAATCCTCTTACAAGAAAGAATAAGGACAAGGAAAACTTGTCTCCTGAGCAGTTCTGCAAACAGAAAATAAGAAGACTTTCCAAGTGAGTGACTCTGAACTACTCTGATTTATTTTTTGACTAAGTTTTACTAAGTTACCTGTAGATGAATTGCTGTCTAACTCAGGTGTTGGTGACTTTTGAAAACCGTGCCAGTTTTGAGAAATGTCATGCCTAAATCACAGATGTTACCTGGTGTTTCTTGGTAATGTTCAAGTGCTGTTTAAGTGCTGTGTTAATTAGAATAGAGTCTGCCTCAGTAGCATAAGCCCAGGAATAATTTTGTTTTGCATGAATAAGCTACTTGTTGAAATCTGGTAAAAGAAATAGAACTAATAAACATTATCTGGAATCAATATGCTGGCCCTTTCCACAAAGCAGATGTGGACAATAGGATTTATATCAGCAGGATAGACCCCAGATCCAATGAAGCCCTAATGTCCTGATTTAAGAGCAATTTAGGAAGTGAAAGATAACTATGTCCTAACCCTATTTGTTGTGTGTCTAACTTATTTTTTCCCCTTCCTGAGCAGAGCAGAGTGTGACACAACACTTTCAAATCCCTTAGCATTAGAAGCAGCTGATAAGAAGAGGGTAGAGGAACTTCTTCAATCAATAAATGTTCATACATCTTTACCTCCAAAGATCATGGTTAATGAACCAACTTATCTGCTTTCAGAAAGAGGTGAGAAATGAAATTTTCTTTTTAAAACTTGATCATACTTCACTGTATCTTACTTGAAGTGAGAACCCCATTTCTGTTAACTAATGCCTCTCTGAGTCATAAATTTAACATGTCACTAATGATACCATACCTAAATGAGTGCTAAATGGGTAAATGATCATAGTATGTAAACTGAAGGAAACAAAACAGGATTATGTTTTTGCAGGATGGTGCTATTTATGCGAATACTACTACAGAAGGAAGTAGATTTGAAGATTAAATACATACATACTTGTCTCTTCTTGTACATATTTCTAATTGGAGTGATTATTATGACTAATAACATGATGGGATAGGGGTTTATTTTTTAGCATTCCGAGTAAAAACAAACAGTGGTTTACATAAGATCTTGTTTCTGAGGGTGTCTTTTTTGTTGATGTTTTCAGTAATAGATGATATCAGGAAACAGCAAACTCTGCTACGGCTGCTGCAATTAATTGATGTTCCCCTTCTAGAAGATATCTTGGTGTCTTCAGTGAAGACAAAGCCAGACTGTTTTGGCAAAGAAGAAGACCTGATTATCTCAAATACTTTCCTGGACAGAGAGGTTACATGTAGCTTAAACTTGCCTGCGTAAGTTATACATCTATAAAATGTATTTTTTAGTGAAGGCTTTATTTCACTCTTGATCAAAGGTTAAGTGAACAAAATAGACATTGTTACACTTGTATACCTGTAGGCAGGGGTGGTGTTCAGGTTCTTTAACTTCTTTTCAGATGTGGTAAGTGAATTTACAAAAAGTATATGTCTAGAGTCGAACATTTGAGCATTTTAAGTACACATTAAAACTTTAACCTCAAGTTTTGAAAACAATTCTAGTTTCTAGACCAGATTCTTTGCTCTTAAGTCTCTGTAACAGCTATTAGAACTTGAAAAATTTCATTCTGAGGCTTTTTGTTTGTTTGTCACAGTTCCTGGTGGTGGTGCTGTGAAGATATAAAGTCAATAAGGCGTCTATCGCTAGGGAAAAGGACAAGTTAAGCTGTAGCACTGAAGATTGCTTATATAATGAGAATGTGAAAGTGGCTGCCTGTCATCAGTGCTCTGTTCCTTAAATATTCTCTTAATTTTGTAGTGTTCCTGTTGATTACACTTGGGCTGATCTCTGTCTTAGCATGTATTCTAATGAATGTGTCAGGGCATGTCACCTCATGTTAATGTCTCAGTAATGCTTATTTCTGTCAAATCAATGCAATTTTTATCTGTTTGTGAGACACCTTAAACTCTCTGGCAGTTTTTCTGTTCTTGCTTTAGGGAGACAATAGTAATATTTTTACATATGTTTAGAATTTTATGTTAGCTAATGAAACTCCTCATTCCAAACTAGGTTTATTGGTGGATATCTTAACTACATGGGTTTCCCCCCCTAGAATGCCTTAATGAACATTAACTTTTGAGCTTTCTACTTCTGTTTATTCTCGATTCTTGAGTGATTGGTGAGTTTTTCTCTTAAACTCTCTCAGATGTGTTTCTTACTGTGTATTATTTTGTGTTAAATGTGTCTCACATTTGTGTCTTTGGTAACATGTCAGATGAGTGTTAAGGAATTTAAACACTTACTTCATTGCTAGATTCCACAAGTGCTTCAGTGGGCAACTGGAGTAGCATCTTAGTAGACAGTATATTATTTAGGCCTGGCTTACAGCCTGCCTGAGAAATGGAAAATTCCAGGTATGAAAAGTAGTCACCAGTATTACAAGTAGTTGTAGGATTAATTGTCCCCAATATGAAGGCAGGGGCGTAAGCATAATTTATGTCTCAAATTTTCTGTCTTTGGTTTTCAAATAGTGTTGTGTTATGCTTGAAGTAATCAAATACCTGTTCTTCATGCAGGTACTTAAAAACTGTAATCAAATCCTCCCTGTATTGATTGCAGTAATTGTGAGATCATAACTAAAGGGAGGTCAAGATCCTATTTCTGTTTTACTGTATTACTCATTTATGTATCCAAGAGTTATGCAATCTTTGTTGGCGGCAGCAGTTCTAACAAAAGTTCATGTCTATCTAGCTGTCCAGCAGCAATTTCAATCTTTCTGCTCTCCATGATAAAAGTAAGGTTCTGTGGATCTTAAATAATAGTCACACCTTGTCATTGGTTCAGTTCAAATTAATTTATGTCCAGAGAGTCAGATAGAAGTATTTGTCCCTCTGCCGCCCACAGTTCTATAATTTTAGATTTCTTCTGTACCAAATGATTTAGTGATTTTTCTCTCTGACCTTCCAGCCTCTTTGAACAATGAGTTTGTCTGCCTGAATTTTAGGTTGTTCTTGCACTTTCTCTCCTTAGTTAAGTCATGCAGGTGTGAGAACTCATGGCTTTATAGTAGGTCATTATAAACTGCTTCCATAGTCTTGTGGGATTTACATTGTTTTCATTTTGCTCTGCTTTCAAACTAATTGTCTTGTTTCTCTTCTGGAAAGATCCAGTCCCTTCCTTTTTCAGTCTGGTTATCCCTGGTGGGTTCTCATAGTGTGTGTTGGAGTAATGGTGGGGTGGTGTTTGATTGTAAGTACTGGCTGAACTCCTGGGCTCTGTGACAGGATGGCATGATTGCAGCTTGTTTTGATCTGGGTGTACCTCAAGTGTATTGTCTGTAGCAGAGGAAAACCATGGAACTTGCTTATTTCAAGCAGGTCCTTGCATTACTGTAGTAAAATAAGTTACATAAACTGCTTAACAAACAAGTTCAGTGTTCTTGTTCAATTATGTGGCTATACTTGCATGGTTATTTCTATCTAGTTATATTTAAAGGATTAAATAAGAACAGACTGAACATTTTAAAGTAAGTACTAAAAATAACTTTTCCTCCTACAGGCTTGACAAATGGCTCTATGCTGCAATTGAATGCTTGGAGTATTTTCCTGACCAGTTCATAGTGATGGTTAGTCAGCAGTTCTCTCAAAGCACTAACGAACTCAGCGATCTGAACACATACAAGAAGATTCTTTTTGACATTATAACAAAGTATTATAGTCAAAAGAAGGACTCCCTTCTTGCTGCTCAGGATCTGGATATTCATTCAGGAATTATAGAGCTTATAGGTAAGAGCAACTTGGAACAAAAAATACAGGTGAAAGCTGTGTAGAGGATGTAACTCACTAAGTGTTAATTGAATCATGTCACCACTTGCAATGCTGTTGCAGGTGTACTTTATATGTTGGAAGGAAACGTTCAAGATCACTATTAAGCATCTCTGCTCAAGACAAGGACAAATTTCAAAGTTAGATCAAGTTGCTTAGGGCCTGGTCCAGCTGAATTTTGAAAACTCTCAAGGATAGAGATTCACCAACTTCTGTATGTAACTGTTTCAATATGTAACTACTTTGATTGTGAATATGTCTTATCCTAGGTCAGAATTTCCTTTATTGCTACTTGTACCTATAACATAAAACTAAAATCACTGCTATAATGTTTTCATGTTAACTGGAATAAGGTTTAGTAAACCCTGGATTTAGGGCACTTTTTAGTAATAGAGGCTGTTTAAAATTATAAAAGGGACTGTGGAGATTGTGATTCAGGCTGTGAACACCCTCAAAAAAACCCTCCCTACATATGCTTACAAGTAAACCAGAAGGGTTTAATTTAAATACAAGTTTAAGATTAATCCTACCCTAAATAGGCCTTGTTACTACTTCAGTTCTCTTGGGTTGTTGTGGTTTAACCCCAGCTGCCAACTAAGTACCACAACACCACTCACTGCCTGCTGCCACCCCACACCCAGTGGGGAAGAGAATTGGGGGAAATAGTAAACCTTGTGGATTGAGAAAAGAATGGTTTAATAACTGGAACAAAATAAAATATGATGTACTAATACTAACAATAGTAATAATAATATTAACTATGATGAAAAGGAGAGGAATAAAACCCAAGAGAAACAAACAATGCACATTACAATTACTTACCACCCATTGACTGATGCCCAGCACAGCCCTGAGCAGCAATCAGCATCTCCTGGCCAACTCCCCTGTGTTTACATACTGGGCATGACATTCTATGGTATGGAATGTCCTTTTGGCCAGTTCAGATCAGCTGTCCTGGCTGTGCTCCCTCCCAGCTTCTTGTGCTCCTGCTGGCCAGCAGAGCATGGGAAACTGAAAAGGTAAGTTTGACTTAACACACTGATATTTTGGTTGTTGCTATCAACACTAGTCTCATGGTAAATTCAAAACACAGCACTGTAGCAGCTACAAAGAAGAAAATTAACTCTATTCCAGCCAAAACCAGGACAAGGTTTTATGGCATGTTATCAAAAGTTTCTGCTTTTAGAGAACTATGACGAGCTTACTGGCATAGGAGCACGGTTGGCCTGTGTAAAATTTGGAGCAGAGTGGTGAATCCTGTGGCCAAAGCCTCATGAAAATACAAAAGGCAATATTTTTATCAGTAGTATTTTGTAAAGGAGAAAAAAATACCAGATTATAATAGAAGTCATGTAAGGCAAACTCTTGCAAAATTATGTAACCCATCCACAGAAAAATGAATGCTAATTTGAAATAATTGACATTGTGACTGCCATCTTCTGCTGCAGGTTTACTGGAAGTGCATGTTCATACATGCACTTCAAGTACAAAACTGATACAAACCAAAATTACAGAATATTACAAAATTAGAGAATTAAAACAGCCAAACCTTTAGGGAAGCGAAAAGACACAATTCTACTTAATTTATGCTTGAGTTGCCTGTAGATCATCTCCTTATTATGTGTCTGCTTGATCTAAACTACATGACCTATGAATGTCCAGGGCTATTCTGCTTATTTTATTCTGGCTTTTACTTTGTCATCTTTTCAACTTGAATAAAACTGCCTCACAAGCAGTTTCTAATGCTTTATTTCTTTTTGATGAACTGGTAGCCATATTTTTTTAATTAGGAAATAGTTCTCTGATTGAATATGTTGATTTTTGTTCTTGGGTCCTTAGCTGTGTTCTAGTTCATACTAGATCATTTTTGGGTGATTGTGTTGAACTATTTTACAACAGTTTTTCTCTCTCAGTGCTATGGTATAGATTATGGTTGTCAGTGTGTAGCAACTCAGATTCTAATAATACTTGTCAAGTAGAATCCAGTGCAGTTAACTTTACTTTGAAAAAAATGCACAAGAGGACTCAAACTAGCTAATAACTTCTGCATATTTAAAACACTTTCAAAATTAATTTAAGAAGTGCTGCGGTTAGCTAAAGAACTAATTCATTTTGTTGTCAAGATAGATACTGCTACAATTGTATTCAGTTTTTAATCAGTTTGATATAAGATAATGCAGATCTGTTATGAAGGCAAACGTTGCTGTGTTTGTTGCTTTTAAAATAAACAGATCTAGACTATTTGTTACAGATGAATGCAGTTGGTGCAATTAGTCTTTGTGGTTCATTGGAACCTTTTTTTACAGTCTTTTAAAGTAACTCAGTAAAGCTTTAATCACAGATCCGAGAAACTCTTAACCTTTTCTCTAGAAATTATTTAACTTCCTGTCTTCATGTCTACACTTTTAGCTGTTTGGATCACGTCCTTTGGCAATTCTCCTTCTTGCTTTTTTGTATGCCTTTCTTTTGATAAAGGGTCACTTACAGAATCATAGAATCATCAAAGTTAGAAAAGACCTTCATGATCAAGTCCAATCCTTTACCTAGCACCACACCACGTTTGCCACTGATCCATGTCCTCAAGTGCCATATCCCCTTTTTTTTCCTACATTTCCAGGGATGGTGACTCCACCCAGTTCCCCAGGCAGCCTGTTCCAATGCTTTACAACTCTTTCACTGAAGAAATTTTTCCTAATAGCCAATCTAAACCCCCTCTGGTACAATTGAGGCCATTTCCTCTTGTCCTGTCACATCTTACCTGGGAGAAGAAACTGACCCACACCTGACTACAGCCTCCTTCCAGATAGCAGTAGAGAGCAATAAGGTCTTCCCTGAGCCTCCTGTTCTCGAGGCTAAACAATCCCAGCTCCCTCAGCTGCTCCTCACTTATTCTTCTGGTGTTCTTTCTAGCCAAAGATGGTTTCAAATGGCTTGTGGTACACCCCTGAAAGTCCTGGACTATTTCTTGTAGGTTCTATTCATGTATCTGCCCTCATCTTACTCTTGCATAAAGCAAGTTACTTGACTTTTTCATAGTTTCTCACTTTCAAAGTGAAGGGAACTAGAATTATCATCTAAAGGGATTGGAGATTTTTTTCCACTGTATCACATTTTCTTGAGACTCTCATAACCTAATGACATAAAGGAGGAGGGGGGAACACATGGACATGACAGCTGACCAACCAACAGGAACAAACAAAAAGAGAAAAACCTCAATAACAACAAAAAACACAACCAGCCAAAAAACCCCAAACTGTCAAAGCAATGAGAAAGTTATAATTGTTCAGTTAATTCATTTTTCTTTGAGGTGAACCCTGGAATGTAATATGAAGATGTGTAAATGCAAACAGTGCGAATATCACTTCAGTGTTTGCATGTTGTAGACAGATCACAGTAATGTCCTTATATATTGTTCAAGCACAGCTGTTCCCTGACTAGGTACGGGACAAAGGCTTTAAGCTTACACTGATTACATGCTGTATAGAGTCTTGTCATAAGGTTTTCCAAGTCACTGAGATTAACTTGTTTTGTTTGGGAGGGGGAATCCCCAAAAGCAGGATTATTATTGGGATTTAAATATGCATTCCTGACTCTGAAAATGACAGCTGTATTGGATGCATTGTTTTACTCCACTACAGAAAAAGGAAAAACAGATCAAGCTCTAGAGGCATCACAACTTTATTTAAAATTATTAGCATCAAATATCAGAGAAGAACTACACAGGCTCCTGACATTCCTAGCCATTGCATCAGAATCTGAAGCCTACAGACTACAAAAGCAAGTGAGTATCTGCTTTATTTAGTGTGAAAAATAGCACATTGCCATGGTAAAGCTAATGTTTTTGTCCAGATTTAGAAGTATTCTGTTTACTGCCTTTCAATGTGATCTGTTTCAAAATAAATGTCAAGATGTTCTTTCCCCCGGTAGCATCCTGTTATACTTTGTCTTTGCTAGTACATTGCTAGTTAACCTAATGCCAAATCTGGGTACTTCTTTTTCTAGTTTGAGAACAGATCAGTGATTATCAAGACTTGCACAAAGTTCATTTTGCAAAATAAGACACTGTCAAAACCACAGGCAGAATTGTTGACTCACTTTCTGATGGACAATCACTCTGAGCTCTTCAAGGTATCATTTTCCTTCTCTCATTGGCTTTGTCATTTTAAATGTTAAATCCCATGAACTGCCTTTTTTTTTGAGTATGACAGGTCTGAGGAGTAGTGTTTAATGTTCCATTTGTTTCAGTTTAATAGTACAGTCAAGAAGGCTGTGAAGCTATTCCAGACTATGGAGGACAGATTTTTGAGAGCTTTGCAATCCTTTGTATAGGATATGCTCTCTCTTTATTTGATTCATTTGTATTAGGAAAATATTTCAAGTATTAAGACTCATTATAGAGGCCTTTTGGCACCTAGTTTGTAATGGCTGCCTACCTAAATATTTAGGCATCTCAGTGTCTTTCTCCTTTAGAAGTTCACTGACATACTCTGAGTGGTGAATAAGATGGCATGTTCTGGTGCCCCAGGGTATGTGTACAGTTCCTTTGGCATTTTGAAAAGTTAACTTCTAAATTAAAGAAATGAAGTAGAGCCACAAAATGAAATTACTTTCCTATTCAACTTGATCAGCTGTGTAAATTTACAGACGTGTTTTGTAGTCTCCTTTATTTACATCCCATCATATTGTCACACGTGGAAAGATGGAACCTTCCCATACTTTGTACAAATAAGATTCACAGAAACACTGAAACATTTTTTTGGTGAAATATTGGTGTTAATTCTTATACAACACATTAGTTTCCACTTCTGACTTCAAGTAAAGAGTCATGGAAGATTTTAACTGCTTTTTTTAACTAGCTGCAGTTTAGTTTGAAGGTGTACAGCAAGAGTTTTATATATGTTTATAAGTTGAGTTTTTTGTATTAAGAGTTCTGACATGAGGGTTAAGGCTTTGATTTATGATTGGAATTGGAGCCAGAACTGCATAGCAGTGACAGCAGAGTGGATGGTGGTTTGCTCTTTCACAGCTGTAGTTGAGAGCTTTGTGTGTTAAATAGGCAGAAGTCAGTTTGTTTTACACTACAGTTGTTGCCATAGTTCAGTGCAAAACAACATCTAGAACTTTCTGCTGCCTATTTCTGTGGCCAGAAATAAACATGTGTGTTTCACTAAAACCATGTGCTTTAGTGCAATTATGTGAGAGTCTTTGAATGTGTACCTGAATAAGTGTAGCAGTAGTTAATGATGTGGTTTTTAAATTAGTCATCTGAAAGTTTTAGATTCTCAAAATACAGAAGTATTGCTTTTGTAACTTTTTCTTTGTTGGATTTTATTTTCAGACTCCTTTAACTCTTCTGGAACTAACTAGTAGGAGACTTGAGAGTTTGCTAGAAGGACAAGATCCAGACATCAATTCAGGTAGATGATGTGATACACACATTTATATAAACCATTCTATACAAACTGGTTTATCATCAGCTGACTAATTTTGCACAGACTGTTTCTTTTGATTTGTTAGAAGCATAAAGTGATTAGCAGCTAATGCACTAAATTTAATTATCTGCTATAAGCAAAACTGATCTCTAAATATTAGAGAAAAAGGGTTCTATTATCTAGTTTGAATACATGACCTTTTTTATTTTTATTTTTTACCAAATAATTACTTCTGGAGATACCCGTGCGAAATGTGCTTCCTGAAGCGATTTGCTTATAATTTGGTTTGTGAATTTGATGTGATTTTATATTTAGGAACAGTATTCTTATATTTCTGCCACAAGGTATCTAAATATTCTCATAAAGCTCAGTAGTTTGAGGTTCTGATAGATGCCTTGAGCAGAGACTTTGATCATTTAGTGTTTTGAAGAACTCTCTTCCTTTTCTGGGTAAACACAGAGTTTATTAAGAGCTTAGGTCTTAAGCAGCAAGTGTCAGATGCTTTCTTTTTAGGCTACACTACCCTATTGTATGTGGGATTAGAGTTTTTCAGCTCATTTCTTTTATGAGCTAACATTCCATCTGGCCTTGCTGCCAAAAATATCTTGCAGCACTGTGATTAAAAGGGTTGGCTTAAATAATTGAATTTCTCTCTGACTCTTTACCTTCTTTCTTTTAACTTCTCTATTGCCAGTGCAATATGTGTTTAAACATTGAAAAAAAACCCAAAACATTAAGGAACTGGATAACACTAAGTTATTTAGCTGTATAATCCTATATTTAATACAGCAGCTGCCTGAGAAGTGGTTTTGGTACAGAACCTTGTACCAACTGCACTGGGTTGTGGAATGTGTCCAAATTCTTTCTGGTTCAGTGTTCTGAGAATCACATACTGTGTAGCCAAAGAATAGAGATGAGCCACAGAGGAAAGAGCTGCCTGTTTGTAGTATTCTCAGAGCCTGTGTGATCACCATCAGCACATTGAACAGACAACTGATATACAAACTCCATACTGTATTCTCCCTATAGAGTTTTGGAGTTTTAATCTGTAAATACGTATACGTTCCATCTACTTGTTCAAATAGCTAGTTTGATCAGCTTGTAGGGTCACCAGCATGGCATAGTCCTGTTTTCCTGTGTGCTGCATACTGTGGTGACATTTTCCTTTCCCATGAAGCAGGAAAATATTTCCTGGGAGCTACTGAGCATTCTTAGCTGGTGAACTCAAGTGCAGACGGGAGCAGGAGGGAAGGCTAGGGGGACCCTGATAACATAAGGGGTCTGTCTATTGCAGGAGGGTAATCCTTAGGTCTGATGGAAATATACAATACTAAAAACACTGAGGGAACTCTGGTTTTAACCTAGTAACCCACTTGATACCATCAAAGTAAAGGATCCATGCTGAAATTTTAAGAGCTAATCTCTCTGCCAGTTGTTAAGCTTTCCCTTTTGAAAAAGCTATAATTTTCTTCATCTGACAGCTCTAAACCATCAAAAGTATTGGTGTTTGACAGACTCATTGTAAAAGAAGTGAAGGTCAAGTCCATGTTGAAAACCTCACCCTGAGTTGCTGCCTCTTGCATACCTCAGCTTCTGGTACCCAAACCACTCTGAGCTGTGGTTCAGAGGCAGCTGTTTCTCCAAAGTGTTTATTCACTTGCATTAGGAACCGGGCCTTGCTGCAGATCCTATTCACTCACAGGGAATCACTGGATCATGACAACTGCAAGGTGTCATTCCTGTTCTGTAACATTCTCCATCACGGTTTCTGTTTGTGAGAACTGTATTAGCTCTTAGTCTTGCAGGCCTGCTTGAAATCCAGAATCATCTGTGGTACTGCACTTGTAACACTGCTTTTCCATTTTATTTTTGCAATTAATGTTTAGATGTCCATCCCTGCTCAGGGGAGGGCTGTACATTTCACTTTGTTTGTAGAGAGTTGTAATCACATCTGAACTGGAGTATCAGTATACCTATGTTTCTGATCATATTTTTTTAACAAGGCTCTTACACAATGCATGAAACTTAATCTGAACCTCTGGTTTTTTACAAAGGCTTCACCTTCTGTCAGCGCATTACAACTAAAGAATATGAAGATCAAACCCAGCAAACCAATCAGTATCTTCTAGCATTGGTTCAAGAGATGGACAATGACCCTACTATCCCTTTGAAGCAAAAGAAGAAATTAATCAAAGAATTCCGAAAATACCATTCTCTAGTCTATTGTAGTGGTTGTAAAACTACATGTGAATTTTGTGCTCCAAATGGGTAAACATCAATATAGACTTTTTTTTTTCCTCCTTTTTAAAAACAAAGTGGAGGATGCTTATGAAAATTGCTCATGATAAAAAATGTTTTATGTCTTTACATCTTTGGTTTCAAGAAGCTACAACTGTCAAAATTACTATGCTGCTAAAAAGCATTAAATCTAATGATTCTTTTAAGTGAAATGTAATTAATAGCTTGTAAATTAGTAATAACAGCACACTGCTTGTGCTGCTTTGAGTTTAGGGTTTGACACGTTTTATCCTTCTGTCCCACAACCCCATGGCTTTCTATCTGAGCCAAGTCTACATTCAGAGCCATGCTTGGGCAAGTGAGGCTTTTATAATCTTTTCTGTCTGTAGATAATAACTGTAATCTAATCTTAAACTGTAGATTAAGATTCCTACGGGTATTCTAAAAGTGTACAAAGTATGTCAAAAACATTAAAGCAGGCCAGTGGATTTTGAATCTATGGCAGGCAAATTCATTAGGTAGGAGAGCTATGTGTGCTTGCAGTCAGTAATTACAGCCTGTTGTTACTCCTGACTGAGCTGCTAATAATTTGGCAGTTATGCAAAAGCAAGTAAAAACCTACATTTTGAAGAAATTTGAGAAATAGTTTAGATCTCTTGGTATACTCAAGTAATTTATTTAAACATGAGAACACTTTGATAGTGTCCAGTTATTTATTATGAATACTTCAGTAATATTTATGTTTATGAATTTAAAGACAGAAAACATGCTGACCCATCACCACATGGATGGTTAACTGTATATTGACAAGGAAATGTTGATTCAAATCATAGAATTGTAGAACAGTTTGGGTTGGAAGGGAGGTAAAGATCATCTAGTTGCAACCCCCTTGCTATGGACAGGGACACCTTCCACTAGACCAGGTTGCTCAGACTCCATCCAACCTGGCCTTAAACACTTCCAGGAGTGGACCATCCACAACTTCTCTGGGTAACCTGTTCCTAATTTTTTCCTGATGTCTAAACCTACTCTCTTTCAGTTTGAAGCTATTCCCCCCTGTCCTGTCACTACATGACCCGGTGAGAAGTCTCTCTCCATCTTTCTTGTAGGCAGGTACTGGAAGGCTGTAATTAGGTGACCCCAAAACCTTCTCTTTTCTAGGCTGATCAATCCCAGTTCTCTCAGCTTTTCCTCATAGTAAGTAAATATGCAGTATGTGATAGGAATTAAATTTCACACTCAGAACAGACATTTGATCATCCATTGGACAAAGAAACATAGAACTGTGATTGCAAGGGACCTCTGGTCTAGTCTCACCAGTGAGCTCAAAGTGGAGTCAATTAGTGCAGGCTGCTCAGGGCCTTTTCCAGTTGAGTTTAGAGTATCTCCAAGGACAGAGATGCCACAACCTCTTGGATGAGTCTGGTCCAGACTTTGACCAGTCTCACAGTATTTAAAAGTCAAAAACCAAAGCCCACCTCCACCTGTGCTCTACTGAGCACAGCTGAGAAGTGTCTGGCTCAGTCTTCTTTACTTCCTTCCCTGAGTGTTCTCAAGGCTCTCTCAGCCTCTTCCTTGTGTGACTGATCCTCCAGTCCCTTATTGTTTTCATGGCCCCATTGCTTGACTAACTCCACTATCACCATGATTTTTTTGTTATGAATATGCTTATTTAGGTATCTCCATCCCCAACTGCTCTTCAAACATGTGGTCAAGTCAGCAGGATACCAAAGCCTTCTCAAAACAACTGCTGTTTTCTAAACTGAAATAATTACACTGTTAGATACAACCAACACAATCTATTACCTGCACACATAGTTAATTTGCATATTTGAAGCAGCCTTAGCTAAATGACCTGGCCCTGTTAGAAGTCAGAGAATGTAGTTGAAATCTGTCCATGAATCCCTCTTTGTGCACTTGTTATTTAACAGTGACTGTCCAGTGTGAAATAAATGATTTACAGTAGGAAAGAAACCTAAGTTTCACCTTTCACAGGTGAATGCCCTAATTCCTAGACTACAGGGCCACATATTCTTTTTCTAGCCCTGTGTAGGGTTTTTGTTATTCTCCCAGAAGAGAGAACACGTACAGAAGTAGGTTATCGAGAATTGTAAACAGGAAAGCATTTCCCCATTAAGTGCCTCTGGTGTTGAGTAGTGGGAGAAAGGGATTTTAGTTGTGCTTTTTTTTTCTCGCTCTCTGTCTTCAGTCCCTTTACTAGGTATTACTCAAAATACTAAACCTGGTAAGAGGAAGGGGTGATAACATGGTGATTTGTAGGCTAGGTGGGCTGGGAATTGCTTTGGGAAAAACTGTATTTAAGAAAAGCAAAACTCTTGCACTTTGTGATTTGATTAGAATTTACTTGTGCTAATTTAAGGAAGATAATAAAGAATTGTATAAAAAGTGATGGATGACTCAATCATTTTGTAGCGCATTTTTAAGAGGCAGCTCAGGAGACACAGAACCAGGTATCACACAGCAAGGAAATACTTCAAGCAGGAATTTATAGCTACCACGTGGTTTCCTTCAGTTCATAGGACAAGAAGTCAAAATTGATCTAGTTCTGCAAAGTAAAGGAAGAGCTCGAGAGCCCTCTTTTATTCACCTACCCTGACAGGAAGATCTACTGACCTTTAATCTTCTGCTGAAAGAAATGTAGTATTGTACATTTAAGGGTCTTCTGAAAAGAACAAGTTTTAAGAACTACAGATTACAGGTTTTCATTGTTACACTTTCAGTTAAATTCCAAAATTAAAATAATTTTATTGGACTTTTGAAAGTTCTGTTTCAAATTGTTAACAATATTTGACATAGAATCATCTGGTAGGGAAACTTGGGACCTCTCACTCATTTCTGTTTATGATTTCTAGCACAGAGCTATCAAATTAATTGCCAGTATGAATTTGTTTGAAGATTTTGAGAGCAAAGAGTTTAGAGGTACTTTTCAGTGCAGTCTTATCAAAGCACAAGTGATGGCACCTTCAAAGTAAGGAGGCTTCTATTTATAGAGTGTTCATGTTTGCTCTTGCCAAGGAAAAGGTTTGTTAGTGCTTTATGGGAGCAATGTGCATATTTCCTTATTTTAAGTCTCAGCTAAAGCCTGCTGATAATTTTGTGAAGCAGTTAGAGAAGTAGAGCTTGGACCCAAGGGTCTCTATATGTGGCTATCAAAATTACAGTGTACTAGACTTAGTTTGTATTACTTTGTGTAGGACATGAATGTGTCAAATAGTTTCTAGGTGGTGGTCTCATGTCTTCATACCCTAGCTGCCTCGTGTGTGGCTCCTGTAGCTGTTAACAGCACGAGGAGGGTACCTCTTTCATTCCTGTCAACAGATTGGACTACAGGAAAGCTACCATGAGCTGGCAGTCCAAAGTATGAAAGATCATACTCCTATTCTCTGAAGCATTGGCTTCTCTTCTGTGTTGCCCTTATGCAAAGTGTACTGCCTAAGCACACTTACTGGTTTTACATTAGAGCAGACAAGAAAGGGAAGATGAGACACAACAGGATACTCTTCTGCAAATCTGAGCACACTCAGTATCACCAGCCCTACTAAAAGGGCAACTTCCCTGTTGCCATAAGCTGCGTCAAGGCAAGATCAGTGTCAGCACCAGTGTGTCCATTACCCACCCTGGCTGAGTACCTGCCTCTGTCCTGGCAACCAAGCAAGCCAGGTGGGGCACCCCCTACTAGCATGGGCCTCCCAGCCTTATATCTGGCTATTAGCCTGTGCTGTTGCTCTTTCCCCTCCTGCATGGAACACTGCACAGACTTATGGCACAGTAACAGAGCTGCTGAGGCACTGAAGAACAAGTACTGTGGTGTTTGTGTTTATCCAGAATGCAGGGAGAGGACAGATGGATAATCACCCAGAACACAACTGCAAGCTTTGTTCACCTTTGTGACAGCTCCTGATGGCACCTTTACAGAAAGCTGAGGGGAGTGGCAGGAAGCTTATTTGCTCTGCTGTCACATAAAACAAAAACCAAACAAAACCTCCCACAACCTACTAACCTGAAACCGTTTTAGAAAAAGGAATTGTTCAAATTACTCTTTTCTCGGAGCCTAAGCATATTTTCAATATCAGTGTTCACATGTCAAGTATATGCATCTCACAGCCATTCACAAAAATAACCAAAAATAAAGCTTAGTATTTATTTCCAGGATAGGCAATCTCCAAGACTTCTTTTGAGATGTGTTTAATGTCCATTTAGTGGCTTGCACCAGTTAGAATAATAATCATTTTGAAAAAAAAACAACCCAAACCCATTTATTCTCACTGTTAGTTTCACACCAGTACATGCACTGGAGATTTTTATTGCCTCACGCATTGAGGCTTTCTGCAATAAGAACACAATGAAGCTCTCAGTAAAAGATGAGAACGTAGTGAAATGACAACGAACAGATTATTTCACAGTATCAGGCTTGTAAAACTTTATTTCAAAACTCTGATAATTATTTTTTCCCCAACCCAATTAAATACAGGAAAGCTAAAACACAGCCCTAACTAATGGAAAACAGGTGGTAGTTCAAAGACTTCCATTCTGAGTAAAACAATGGAATCACAACATACTCAGTGATGCTACCTATATATCAAATTTCTCTTCACAGATATTGTGTCCATGTTCTTCATAATCTTCTCTAGTTACTATCATGTCTTCAAAATCATCATTTTCAGAAATGAGCTTTCCACCTTCCCAAGAATAAGTAATAGGGCTGAAAAATGAACAAAGTCATTCTGTAAGTCCGTTTAAAATAGAAGTATGCAGTGATGATTTCCAAGACTTATTTAGCCGTACCTACTTAAAAACACATTTTTGATTCCTAAATCAAACCATCCAGCTCCAGACAAGTTCTGAGACAAAGTTTGACATTTTAGCAGGGCTTGCTGACTGCTTCCTTAAAAAGTGCCTCTTTGGAGGCAGGTGTGAAGAGGGAAGGACCTGAGTATGTCTTCGCATGTATTTTTGCACAGATAATGTTCTTTCAACAATATTTAAAAACACTCTTTAATAGTAGTTTTTCAAAAGTAGAGATTTTTTGTGCTTTGAAGCTATGTTTCTTATGTCTCAGCTCTCTCTGCAAAGATGCTACCCCTTCCAAATCCCTGAAATGGCTACATTAATAATGACATGGCAGCATTTGGATGCTGAAAAGTCTTCTAAGTAGAAAACTAATCTTACATCCTTACATACCTCCTTAATGACAAGACAGTCATATTTATCTATTTACAATAAAAAGGCTGATCCTAAAACCACTTAATTAGCCAAAGTACAGAGCAAGCAGGTGGTCTCTAACTTATTTGGTTTGTCTGAAAATACACTGATTTAAAATATTCCTCTTGTACAATTTTTGTTCACTTAATATTTTAATTAACTCCTTTATCTTTTTAATCAGCAAAAGAAATCCTCTTTTATAGTTTGTTCTGCTAGAAAGACAAAGCCTCTTCTGTTTAGAAGGTTAGAACTTACTTTTCAGGAAGAACAACGGAAACATCATAATCAGTTGGAGTAAGACATCGAACTTCAGAATAAACCCGATCTCTGAAGCCTGGAAAAAGGGTGTTTCCCCCAGTCAGAACGATGTTCTTGAAGAAATGAGGCTGCATTTCTGTAAAATAAATAAGTAAATCTGTAGTTAGAGACTGAATGTGTGTTTAAAAACTAAAGTAGCTTTTCCCTCCAGTTTTGTTATGAATTGGAACAGAAGTAAGAAGCATGCATAGATGAATTTTATGATGATCTAATGATAGTATCAGTTAAAGAGTTTTATTGAGAAATACAAGAAAGTGATCAGTCGCCCTATGTTCTTCCTGATTTTAGAATCTGGCTTTGGTAACTACTGTTTTCTTATATTTGTTAAATTTAATGTTTCCCTTTTCAAAAGGGATTTTAAATGACACAATGTTTTTAAGAGTACAAAATAATAGCCTGAATGCTGCCATACCTATGTGGTATCATAAAATCTACAAAAGTCATCTTTGTAATAACAGTAATTACGTGCATATTATTTACAAAATGAAAGCCTCAGTATTACTTCTGACAAACAGCAGTTAGAGAGGTTCAACACTGTGATGCTTAAATTACTGACTTGGGTCAGTTTCATTTTTCTCATCAGTTTGATTTTTCTCTTCTTTCAGTGATGAAAGACATTTTAAAACATCACTAAAACTAATTTACAGTATATTCCACCATCAGTGTCAAAGACATACAAAGGTCATACAAAGACAGGGATGTTAAAAAGACTTAAGTAACTGAAACAAGAGTAGAAACCAATGAATCACTGCAAAGCTGTGCTTGCCTAATACATAAATTTGCAGACCATCAGTTCTAGAGCATATGACACACACCAGAAGACAGAACAGTTCACAACCACTTAATAACTGGTGTATTGAGAGCATTAGCTTCTTAAGACACTTCATATGTGGCACAGAGTCTAGTTGTGAAGATCTGTCATTAAGTGGCATCACCCAGGGCTCTATACTGGGTTCAGTATTGTTTAACTTACTCAACAGTGACTTGGATGAGGGGACAGAGTGCCTTCTCAGTAAGTTTGCTGATGACACAAAGCTGGGAGAAATGGCTGATACCTCAGGGGGCTGTGCAGCCCGTCAGAGGGACCTCAACAGGTTGGAGAGGTGGGCAGAGAAGAACCACATAAAATTCAACAAGGGCAAGTGCAGGGACCTGTACCTGAGAAGGAATAACCCTGAGGACTGGTACAGGTTGGGTGCTCTGTGGAGAAGGACCTGGGGGTCCTGGTGAACAACAGGCCGTCCATGAGTCAACAGTGTGCCCTTGTGGCTAGGTAGGCCAATGGAATCCTGGGATGCATTAAGAAGAGTATTGCCAGGAGGTCAGGGAGATGATACTGCGTCTCTACTCAGCCATCATGAGGCCACATCTGGAGTATTGTGTCTGGTTCTGGGCTCCTCAGTATAAGATGGACATGGAGCTCCTGGAGCAGGTCCAGTGGAGGGCAATGAAGATGATTAAGGGACTGGAGCACCTCACTTACAAGGACAAGCTGAGGGAGTTGGGCCTGTTCAGTCTCAAGAAGAGATGACTGAGGGGGAACCTCGTCAATGTATATGAGTATCTGAAGAGGAGGTGCTAAGATGATGTAGCCAGGCTCTTCTCAGTGGTGGAAACCAATAAAACAAGAGGTAACAGGCAAAAACTCATGCACAAGAAGAACTGCTTTACTCTGAGGGTCACTGAACACTGGAAGAGATTGTCCAAAAAGGTTGTGGATTCTCTCTCACTGGAGATATTCAAGAACCATCTGGACCCAATGCTGAGCCATGTGCTCTAGGGTGGCTCTGCTTGAGCAGGGAGGTTGGACCAGATGACCCGTTGTGGTCCCTTCCAACCTAACTGATTCTGTGAATCCTTAGAAAATCCCAAAACCAAAACAACAAAGAAATCCAGAACCAAACCAACAAGAAAAAACAAAACAAACCACCACAACCTCCCTTCTCCCCTCATCCCTCCACCCTCTTCAAAATACTTCTAGGTTATACCTTCAGGTAAATTCTGAATAGAATAAACAATGGCTTCAGGAATTCCCATCTCTTGAATACCAATATCCGAAGGATGGAAGAGTATTTCTGGAACTGCAAATCTTTCATTTGCTAGACGAAGTATTTGTTCACCAGTCTTGTATTTTCCACTTAACACCATCTCTTCCCGTGGCTAAATTAAAGACAAGAACAATAACCACTGCTTAAGAAGAGAAATCACATCCTACAGTATTCAGCTAAGCTATTTCATGTACTGCAGAGGTAGGCAGTATATTCTAGGTTAAGTCACATTATCAACAAATCTTTTAAGAATAATACTCTGGTATTAAATCTGAAGTGACGTTGCTCTTATGAACTGCAGTTTTATCTGAAGCAAAATCACTATGCATGAGAGCAGCCTTAAAATATTGGGATTACTTTCAAAACTATGGTCAACTCAGGAAATTAGATAAAACTGCTAAATTATTTGCATTGGTATGAAGACTTTTCAGGCTGTTCTGTAACATGACTTTGAACCTTCTGCCTCTTAGGGTACTTAAATGAAATTCACAAAGACTTACAAAAAAGCATCAAAGCAGAGAAAACATCTAATTTAACTTGAGAAATAAACAGTGATTAAGTGGATAGGTTGTATGACAGAGCACAAGCATAGAAAGCTGCAACTTACATAACAGAACATAAAATGCTATGCTGGAAAAACAGTATTTCATTTTCATCTCGACTTCCTAAAGAAAAACTTTACCAATTAATGTATAGCACAGGAAGAAGTTACAATACAGCATTAGGAAAAAGAGTATTTTTAACCTCTCTACTAGGCTTGTGCAGGGGAACAATCCAAAATAACCTTCAAAACTATCATTACCTTACAAAATCCCTTTTTGATTGTGCTGAAGTCTGGCAAAACATAATCTACCATTACAGTATTTTCTTCTCCTTTCAATCTGAAAAAGAATATAACATTCAATAGAATAAAGAGCAGGTTCTAAATTCCAACTATTTTATACTAACAAGACTTTCTATGGCTTAACTGGAAAAAAATCTGATTAAGAGTATAGTTTTATTTGTTTGTACAAATAGATTATTCAGAAGTACCAACTTTTACATTTAGTACCACTGTATACATACTTGGCAATGTCCATGTCCTTGTAAAAGTCTTGAGAAACATAACACACATCTTCTTTCACTTGATTAATTACATGTGTTTCATCCATAACATGTAGCTGCCTGCAAAAAACAAAAACCAAACCCACAGAAGTTGAGAGTAATTAAGTCTTCCATTTCCTGCCCAATTTTCCACTGGAGATGAGCAACCATCATTTTGAAGTCACAGAAAGCTACTGTCTCAGTATCTAAACCCTGTATCCATTTACAAAAGCATTCCTGGCCTACTCAAGCTTAGTATTTTCCTATTTCACAGTTCAATCAATACAAACATTTACCTACATTTGCCCATTGTCTTTATAACAAAAATAGCCATAATCCTGCTATTAGCTCTCCTACCAAAGACCTTTACCTTGATAACATTCCAAGCTAAAGGATCCTAATGAAAAGTTGATCCTATTGAATTTTACTTGTCGCATTGATAGAATCAGTTAGCAAACTGACTGAAGATCTACTGAGACATCTCAGCACATATGTAAGGACATATAATTGTGAGCACATAGGTAACCTCAGCAACCTCAAAAGCACTGTGACTTGGAAAAATAACAATTCTTCAAAGAGTTTAAGCTCATCTCCATTCATCTTGAGCTGAAGGTCAAGCTAGCAGCTAGCAGACTGTAACAGACAAAAATTCCCTTCTTCTTTAAACAGCATTTAGAAACACTAAAAAGATCCCCACAAACTTCTAGCTCATTTCATACCAGGTTTCAAAGTGAAGACCGGCGTGCTTTACCTGTAAGAGATGATCTCCTTTAGATGGTTGGTTAAGAGTTTCCCTCCAACATTGATCCTACAGAAGAGGAGTAACATGAGGAATTCTGTCCTTATTAACTTCAGGCATAGCAAACAATAAATATATACTGCAGTTTACCTGATGATTGCCTCTTTCTTCTTTTTACTTCTGCAATAAGGTACAATGTGTGTAAAAGAGTATCCACTATCCACAATGATACAACACAGCTCAGATGGATTATCCCGGAAATACCTGTGTGCACTAAGAGCTCCAGCTGAAATGCAGAAAATTTCATTCCATTTTTATATGAAGATACACTTTTAGAATTTACAGTGATATCAAAGTGTACTTGCTTCATATCTTAAATGCCTTTGACAGACTTCCAAGAGCTCAACACCTAACAGTGCAGCCAACATATGAATTCATTTTGACAGTGGATAAAATGAAGTGCTGTATGTTCCCCCATTTAATCTTTTACAGTAACTCTGGTTCATGGTCAGTTTCCTCTCCTGAAGTCCAAGCAGGCTGATCACACCACAACTTATCAAACTTATCTAAAGGAGTATCCTATGTCCAGCTACCTTTCAGAAGGGTGCTGATGTTATTTACACAGTCCCTCTGAGATACATTTCATGACTGTAATGATGCATATTATTTGCTAACGCAAAACAAAACCACACAAAACACACTCACACTCCTCCCCAAAAAGAAAAGCTATCAAAGACCTCATGCAAATTTTTAGTAGACTTTCTCAAATGCTATTCTGTTTCAAAATCCATTGCTATTTTTGTCATCCTGAGTCTCCTCAAATTTCCTGTAATTATATACCATGACAGTCTTAGAAAGTAGGACAAGAATACAAATGGAATTTATAGAGAAATAATTTTTAAAAAATGTTTAATCCACTTAGAGTACATATAGTAGCATAATACTCAAGATCCAGGAAGGATATTAAGTAATTTCTTTTATACTTTATTTTACTGAAAATCTGCTATATAAAAAAATGGAGGTGGGAAAAGGAAATCCTCTTTTCTAAAAATGGAAGCATATACCTTTTGGCTCTGACAAAACAGCTGTTTTACTGTTCCTTTAAGGCTGCTTGCATATAAGTCTTAATTTGAAGAGTGTATCTGCAGTATAAACAGACTTCTACAGATATGTTTGACCTTTGTCAAGCCACATTAAAAATTCAAACAAAACAGTGTGGTGTACTCTACACAGGAACAGCAAGACAAACAGAAAATGGGGAAGTTTAGAGGCTTCTTTAGCCAAAATGTTGATGATGGCCTCCCACAGTGCTTGCATATAAGTCTTAATTTGAAGAGTGTATCTGCAGTATAAACAGACTTCTACAGATATGTTTGACCTTTGTCAAGCCACATTAAAAATTCAAACAAAACAGTGTGGTGTACTCTACACAGGAACAGCAAGACAAACAGAAAATGGGGAAGTTTAGAGGCTTCTTTAGCCAAAATGTTGATGATGGCCTCCCACAGATCTCATTCCCAGCCCAGCATTCCCAGCTGTCAGTGGGCTTACTCCAGGTGTGGCTAGGCCTGAAAGCAGAAAGCTCAGCCTTGTTGTCATCAAAGGCACAGTCAGCTCATGGGAGTGTCTGGCATGAACTGACAGCTGAAAACCTTCATCCCGTGGGAGCACAACTGGTGCTGTCCTTGTCTTAGAAGGACTTAGGGAGAATAGGAAGTGAGGAAATGAACCACCCCTGAGAGAGCACAGACAATACAAACCCATGAGTGTCCTTACCCCTGTGCTACCTCTCGCAAATAGCTGCTGCAGTGCCTTGGTTGGGGCAGCCTGGCTGAAGGTGCATCAGTGTTGTCACTGCTTTAGCTCGTGGAAGTTTTATCCTGATGTGTTCACTTAGGAACATGGGTTAGTGGTGGACTTGGCAGTGGGTAATGGTTGGATTTGATGACCTCAAAGGTCTTTTCCAATCTAAACAATTCTATGATTTTATGATTCTATGATATATACACACGTGTTTGCATATGCATGCATACTTATGTATTTATTTATCTATTTAAAAGGCTAAGCTTCAAAATATATCAATGCAAACTAGAAGGAGACAGACTCACCATTTACTCTAAGAACTGCTTGAAATTGATATTCTTCAAATAGAATTTCATTCATAGATTCTTGTATTGAACTGAAGTTAAAATAAGGTTCGGTAATAATAATATTGGTATCTACAAAATCCACCTATGAAAAATACAGTAAGATTGTCATTACACAAAACTTAGAAATCAATACTCCCTTAGCATATTTTGCAGCAGTGGCAAATCATGTAAATCTGGAGGCATGATTACCACTTGCTATATCTGTTTATAGAAGCTAGGCCTAGAACATTTCAGGTTTTTTAAAATCCTCATGAGCAGTGTATTTTAATGGATAAAAACATAATAGAAGGGAATACTTTCATACATATCCTGATCCTGTTCCATCCTTACAATCATAATCCAGCATTTTAAAGAGCTATATAGAAAGGAATACTACAATTCTAATGTAGGATACTTAACACTAATCCTGTCAGCTACAGAAAGATAAGTCTCTTCAACAGCACAGCACTTGCATCACAGAATTCCTTATCTAATAACCAAAGATGAAGCCCTGTGCAGTGTAGAATCAATAAAACTCCCAGTGACCTGAGATGAGGCCAGCAAAAGGTCCTGGACTTTCCACATTTACTGGTATCTCAAACTCCTTTAGAGAAGACTTCATAGAGTTACTTCAATCATAACTGGATATGGCCTTAAACATATTAGCAGCTGTATCCCTCTGTAGTCTTCACTCATGAAAAGCAATTTAACAAAATTCCCCTTGAAACCATGACTAAATTGAATATAGTTCCACAACTAAGCTGAAAGCTGAGTATCAAAAGTCAGCATGTATTTTCACGTCTAGAGACTAAGACATTTTGAGATAGTACTTTCATTCACAGTACCATTCTGCCTCCTAGATGTCACAAAAGCCAAAACCTTCCAGAGAAGATAACATTTTTAAAAGAAAAATAAGGGAAGTTCTTATCACACTTATTGTGTCATAAGAAAAATTAAGTATCAGATTTTTATATTTTATACATTCAACTTACTCCTCGGTAGAAAATGGCTAGGCAAGGATGATTACTCAATGCATATGTCTTTTGGCCTACTGACCTAGCTCATCCCTCTCTTGTACATTAACTACTTGCTGATCTCTAAACCACATTGTATCCACCTGTAATTATTTTTTACTAACTTGAACTCTTAATTATATTGATAGGAGTTTCTTATGTGAACTGAACTCCGTATCAGTACACACAAGACTAAAAAATTAGTACACCAGAGCTGAAAGTAAAAATTTTCTTCAGTTTGAAAAAAAAATAAATCCCTGTGATTTCTAATTGAAGGCACTTTCAAAGAGAACAGTAAGCTCACTGGTTCTATTTCATATTTGATGTACTTATCTTAATTCCACACAAAATCTGTAATTAAGAAAAGGCTCTTACTTGATACATTTCTTTTCCAAAAAGATAATCCCAAACCTGTCTCTGGACATCCCAGTTCACCAAGTAACCCTGTAGGAATTTAGAAAATAAAATTACACTTTTTAGAAAAAAATAAAATCATACTTTAAAAAAAGATAACTGATTGACAGACTGGTAATACAAAGAAACTTGAGAGTTTGACTCAAAATTCACATTTCTGTGCTAAGAAGTAAATGTTACATAGGATAAAGTATGTTGCAAATATTCCCCGTGCATATCTTAATTACTGCACTAATGAAACAATGTGAATTGTGTTTTCTGTATACACTATTCCTTTTGGCAGAAGGCTGTCAGTCTGCCCTCAGTGCCAGGGAAGGTTACAGAGATTATCTTCAGTGCCATCACACAGCATGTACAGGGCAAACAAGTGACCAGGTCCAGTCAGCAGAGATTTATGAAAACTTGACTAACCTGACCTCCTCCTATGGCAAGGTGATCCACTGAGTGGAGGGAAAGGATGTGAATGTTGTCTACCTGGCATTAGTAAAGTCAGTCAAGTCTTTGACACCATTTCCCACAGCATTCTCCTGGAGAAACTGGCTGCTCATGGCTTAGATGGGTACATTCTTTGCTGGGTAAAAAACTGGCTGGATGGCCGGGCCCAGAGAGTGGTGGTGAATGGAGTTACACCCAGTTGGTGGCCAGTCACTAGTGGTGTCCCCCCGGGCTCAGTATTGGAGCCAGACCTCTTTAATATTTTTATCAATGATCTGGACAAGGAAATCAAGTTCACGCGCAGTCAATTCACTAAGTTGAGTGGAAGTGTTGATCGGCTGGAGGGCAGGAAGGCTCTGCAGAGGGATCTGGACAGCCTGGATTGATGGGAAAAGGCCAGTTGTATGAGGTTCAACAAGGCCAAGTGTCGGGTCATGCCCTTGGGTCACAACAAGACCAGGCAGCACTATAGCCTGGGGGCAGAGTGGCTGGAAAGCTGCCCATCAGTAAAGGACCTGGAGGTGCTGGTTTACAGTGGCTGAACACAAGCCAGCAGTGTGCCCACATGGCCAAGGCGGCCAACGGCATCCTGGCTTGTATCAGAAATAGTGTGGCCAGCAGGATTAGGGTAGAGATCACCCCTGTACTCAGCACACCTCAAGTACTGTGTCCAGTTCTGGGCCCCTCACTATAAGAAAGACATTGAGATGCTGGAGCATGTCCAGAGAAGGGCAATGAAGCTGGTGAAAGCTCCAGAGAACAAATCCTATGAGGACTGGCTGAAACAACTAAGGTTGTTTAACCTGGAGGAAAGAAGGCTCAGGGGGGACCTTATCACTCTCTACGACTACCCAAAAGGAGGTTGTAGCCAGGTGGGGGTTGGTGTCCACCCTCCAAGCTACACATGACAGTACAAGAAGAAATGGCCTTCAGTTGCTCCAGGGAGATTTAGAGTGGATATTAGGAAACATTTTCTCACCAACAGGGCTGTGAAGCACTGGAACAGGCTGCCCAGGGAAGTGGTTGGGTCACCATCCCTGGAAGTATTTAGAAGACACGTGTCTTCTAAATAAATAAAAGATGTGGCACCTAGGGACATAGCTTAGTGGTGGACTGGACAGTGCAGGGTTAACAGCTGGACTTTTCCAACCTAAACAATTCTACAATTGTTAAATTTCACACTGCTGACTTTGATTCTTGTCTGATACTACATATAACCCTGCGGTTGGGGCAGAGGTATTTTTTTCCTTAAAACAACTTACATTTGGTTATAATATTAAACTGAGGATACGTTACTTACTTTCTGAAAAGGAAGAATATAAAAAAGACCAGAGGGATCCTTGATTTCATCCAGTTGATTTGCCGTGAAGGTTTTCAAGCGTGCAGTCTTTGATCTGAACTGACAGTTTGGAATAATGCTGGAAAAGATTGAGAATTTTCCTATTCAACATGGTGTGAGACACATTCACTGTCTTTATGCTACTTTTATAAATAGTATACTTCCAATTATGTTTTTGCTGCTGTATTTTGGTTTTAGTCCATTTACTTGAGCCAGTTATGAAGGAAATCTCTAATTTCCAATACCTACAGCGCCGATGAGACTCCTGTCAGAAAAGCAAAGCCTGCACACTGTGCTGACTGCTGCCCCCATGCCCTGCTGCCAGCACAGTTAAAGCACCACGGGCTTCCCCTTGCCCCAGCCTGAGTGACCTGGTGTGACACGTGTGACATGGTGGGGCATCGCAGGACATGGCAGGGCACAGTGGGACATGTGTGACACGGTGTGACACGGCAGGACATGGTGGGACACACACATGTGTGACACAGTGGGACATGTGTGACCCAGTGTGACATGGTAGGACATGTGTGACCTGGTGTGACACAGTGGGACATGAGTAACACAGGACATGGCAAGACATGAGTGACATGGTGTGACATGGCAGGACAAGGTGGGACACGTACATGTGTGACAGTGGGAGATGTGTGACATGGCGGGACATGAGTGACACAGTGTGACATGGCAGGAGATGGTGGGAGATGTACATGTGTGACACAGTGGGACATGAGTGACACGGTGTGACACGGCGGGACATGGTGGGACACGTACATGTGTGGGACAGTTGGAGATGTGTGGCATGGCTGGACATGAATGACACGGTGTGACACGGCAGGACACGAGTAACCCGGTGTGACCCGGCGGGATATGTGTGATGCGATGTGACTCGGTGTGACCGGGGGCCGTGTGTGACCCGGTGTGACTCGGTGTGACCGGCGGGCCGTGTGTGACCCGGTGTGAGCCGGTGTGACCGGCGGGCCTTGTGTGACCCGGTGTGACCCGGTGTGA